CATCAACACGGAGATGAGAACCTAATGGGAGAAAGAGGGCAGGAAAAGATTTGGAAGATTGGATGGGTAGAGGGAAGAAGATGGGAGAAAGGCAAGGAGCCAAGAGAGAAAGGAAACTACTATCTATTTGAGGCAGACTCTGTGATCTGATAAGAGACTCCATGGGAAAAGTAAATAAATGTTTCACCACATTCTCTGGGCTCTTTTTAAATTCAGGATGTCTCAGCTCAAATGTTACAAATATAATATGGCATCAGGATAATGTCAGGAAGCCCACAGTGGTGCCTCCAACCTGTACACATTCTTTTTGTTTCATTGGCCTTCAATTCTTCATTCATAGAATGTGGCCAGCATAGAATTATGTTGAGAATTATTGAATTTGAATAGCTACATTTTATAATATGCTTCTCATTTTACCTTAGGAAATTCTGAGACTCTTGAAATTTAAAGAACTTCCCTACTTGATGAATCAGTAGTGGTTTAAACTTATGTTGCTATGCTTTATGTCAACACTTTTCTGTGCAAAAAAGAAACTTTGGACCTGTTAAGAGAATTTTTTTTCCCCTTTCCCTCAGTAAAGTACACAACCTTGTGTTGACAGTTGCTTTTTTTTTACTCTCAGGTAAATTCCAGGGACAGAAAGCAAAAGTGCTACTACTTATTAATAGCAAAATCAGATCAGTTTCTGTAACAAGAGCTCTTCCAGAAGTACATCTTCAAAATCAGTAACTGATTAAACGTCCCCTTCAGTACATGCTTTTGTAAACTTCCCCAAATGAATGCATATGATGCAAAAATAGCCTATAAAATGCTCAAAACTAAATTTATCTATAATGTGCACAGAATGAAGCCCAGAATTACAATTCTGTCTTCTTTAGGGAATCTGCCAAAAATGGGGAGTGACTTGATTCTTATCCTAAGTGAGACACCTAGGAAGTAGAGGAAATAAGAATATTATCAGGAAGGCACAAGAGCTTGGTCAAACTGTAGGGTTCAGTCACTTCTTAGCTGTGTGATCTCTGTTTCTCCTATAAAATGGTGATATTACCGCATACATTGTGAGATGACACAATGAGCCAAATATATAGAGTTTTAAAATAGTGCTTCAAATAAAAGGGCTCATAACATTTTGGCTGTTATGATCTGTAATTTAGAACAATTGTATGGAGTGCTTTACTGAATAAATTGAGTAGTTGTTATCATAATTTCCCAATTATTTATATCCCAAACAGTTAGAAAATAACAAATTATTTTCCAGGTATTGTTGAGTACTAATTGATATTTGTAGTGTTGACCATATCCCATTTTCTCTCCTACCCAGGTGCTGTAAACTTTTTAATTGTCAAGGAAAGTTTAAATTTTGAAGATTACAGGATATCCTATAGAATAAAGAGGTAATATGCAAATGGTCATCACGCCCTCATGCCATCACACTGTAATGGCTCAGACACTCAACACTGGGGAGAGAGGAATGGGGATCAGCCAGGAACAAATAAGCTTGCGAGAGAGAAATGGGGACCAGCCAGACTGCAGTCTGGTACAGGGACAAGCCGCCCGCCCCACAGTTCCAGGTGCCAGTGGCTGTGCCTGCGCCTGTGGCCGGGAAAGGGACAAGCTGCTCGCCCTGTGGACCCAGACGCCAGAGGCTGGGGCTACGGCCTGGGAGAGGGACAAGCTGCATGCCCCGTGGACCCGGACATCAGCGCCTGCGCCTGTGTCTGCGCCCTGGGGCAGGGACAAGCCGCCCATCCCACAGTCCCGGGCATTTGCAGCTTGCGCCTGGACAAAGCTGCCTGCCACGGTCCCCAGTGGCGGGCAGCCAGCCCGGGTGAAGCTGGCCTGGGTCCTGGGTACCTGTGGCCGACCAGAGGGAGGGAAGCCCAGGTCCCAGGTACAGGGTGAGGCAGAGGCGGTTAGGGGCGATCAGGCTAGGAGGGGAGCAGTTAGGGGAGATCAGGCTGGTCAAGGAGCAGTTAGGGGCGATTAGGCCAGGCAGGCAGAGGTGGTTAGGGGCCATCAGTCAGGCAGAGGTGGTTAGGGGTGATCAGGCAGGCAGGCAGAGGGGTTACGGGCGATCAGGCAGGCAGGCAGGCAAGTGGTTAGGAGCCAGCGGTCCCGGATTGTGAGAGGCAGTCGGACATCCCCCGAGGGGCCCCGGATTAGAGGGTGCAGGCCGGGCTGAGGGACCCCCCTCCCCATGCACGAATTTCATGCCCTGGGCCTCTAGTTGTAATATAATGGTAAGAGCATAGAATAAGGGTCAGAACCAGATTTCAGTAGTTAAGTACTTCACACGCATCTATGACCATGGGTAATACATTTAACCACTCTTCATGTCTATTCATTCTTCTGAAAAACAGAGCAATATAAAATGAAAACTATTTATGTATGATGGGATGGGGTGTTATTCCCTGCCATTCCTTTCCATTTTCTAGAACACTGAATTCTAGAGGCTACATTAATAGAAGGGTGGTTTTTTTGTTGTTGTTGCTTTTTAAAAAATAGAAATGTGGTACCATCTCACACCTGTCAGAATGGCTATTATCAACAAATCAACAAACGGCAAGTGCTGGCAAGGATGTGGAGAAAAAGGAACCCTCGTGCACCGCTAGTGGGAATGCAGACTGGTGCAGCCACTGTGGAAACAGTATGGAGTTTCCTCAAAAAATTAAAAACGGAACTCCCATTTGACTCAATAATCCCACTTCTAGGAATATATCTCAAGAAACCAGAAACACCAATCAGAAAGGATATATGCACCCCTATGTTCATAGCAGCTCAATTCACCATTGCTAAGATTTGGAAACAGCCTAAGTGCCCATCAGCAGATGAGTGGATTAGAAAACTGTGGTACATCTACACAATGGAATACTATGCTGCGGTAAAAAAAAAGGAATTCTTAACCATTTGCAACAGCATGGATGGAACTGGAGAGCATTATGCTAACCTTGGTTCTAGGCTTTATCAGCTGCATATTTTCTCTTTTGACATCCTCACAAATAGCCAAAACCTGCTGTTTAGAGTACAGTTTCCATCAGAGACTTGTACTTCTTGGCTGGGGGTGCAGTGACTAAATAATTCGATGCTTTCTTTACTTATGGAAAAGGAATAAGAGTACAAGCCCATTATCAGAAAAAAAAAATAGCGAGGGTGTAAAATATTGAACCGTCTCAGGGCTTCTCACTTGTTACCATAAAAACCACTGTATTCAAAATGAGGTCACTGAGCAGCTGCTGGCCAGTTTGAATGTACTAGTATACAGTATTAGATTCTATGACTAGTCGTGATACTATTTAACCACTTTTTCAATAAAATGTATTTTTTTTGCAAGTATGGAATAAGAATGACTGCTAAATTATTAGATACTTAAGTTTAGAATTCTAAGTCATTACTGCATAATTCAGTTGCTGAAATAAAATGTAGCAGATGCTACAGTGCAAGTTAATGAGTAATTATTTTTTTGTACTCTGGCCTTTCATTTGTCACAGCCATGTAGGTTAAGTAATTATTCTTTTGCTGCTTATTTTAAGATTTTTCTTTTGTTTATTTAGTTCTTTTTTATTTGTTAAATTCTCCCATTTACCCCAAGTTCTTTGGAAAGTCTTATGGCTCTTAATAACCTACCTCTTTTTGCCCTAACTGGTTTGGCTCAGTGGATAGAGCGTCGGCCTGCGGACTGAAAGGTCCCAGGTTCGATTCTGGTCAAGGGCATGTACCTGGGTTGCGGGCACATCCCCAGTGGTGGGTGTGCAGGAGGCAGCTGGTCGATGTTTCACTCTCTTCGATGTTTCTAATTCTCTATCCCTCTCCCTTCCTCTCTGTAAAAAATCAATAAAATATATTTTAAAAAAAATAACCTACCTCTTTTTAAGTAAAAAGAGAAATTTGAAATTCTTAATTGATTTACTCATTATTGTAAATAAGCCAAAACCACAGTCAAGCTTGTTTACTATTTCATGGGTATTGTGCGGGCCTCAGCTTTCAAGGGCATCTATTCAGCTTGTTACAAACCATGCTTTGGCTCCCCTTCTCCAAAGCTGGCTCCTTCTTAACCAGGAAACAAGGCAGGGACAGGCTTCTTCCCTCTCCCCCGACCACAACCCCTTGTCTCAAATTTCTCTGTAGCTGTTTGTGTCCGGAAGTAAATGTAACCAAAATTAATACCAGAATCAACTCAATTCAACCTACTTTTTAATTAAAAAAAAAACAAAAAAACAAGCTATAAAATAAAGGCCTGGATATTTGGTGTAAACTTTCACAGAAATCTGATACATGTCAGATGAAAGTTTCCAGCAAGCTACCCAATGACAAGGAATGTTGGAGGTGTCAGGAGAAAGTGTACTAGAGTTAGTGGGAATAATGAAACTCTAATGCAGATGTCCATGCTGTTGAAATATTTGGAAGATGGGTTCAGAGAAGGTTGAAAATAAAATATAGCAAGATTCTAGGCCTGTCCTATCCCGCTTGTGTAGATATTTGAGGCAAAAAGAGGAGGAAGCCCTGGCCAGTGTGTCTCAATTGAGTGTTGCCGCAAAAGGTCACAAGTTCAATTCTCAGTTAGGGGTGCGGGAGGCAGTCAATCAATGTTTCTCTCTCTCTTCCCTTCCTCTCTCTCTGAAATCAATATAGTACATAATAGACTCTAAGAAGCTTTGATCAGTTTGATTAAAATGATAGTTGAAACCAGGGGCTATTTTTAAGAATTTAAAGCATTTAAATAGCATTATAGCAAAGGTTAGTGATATTTACATAGTTACCATAAAATTAAGAGGTAAGCCCTTATGTATATCATAAAGTTGAATTTCTGTTAAAGTCTATCTTAATAGTAATATTCAGATATTTGAGCCAATTTCAGATTACGAATATTTATGGGACAGCATTTTTTTGATATGTAATAAAGGTTAACTTTTACTTTCATTATTATTTGTAGTAACAGAAAACAGCAAAAGCCAGTTTATTAATTTGCTTGGGTTACCATAACAAAATATCAACAGATTGGGTGTTTTCAACAACAGAAAATGTATTTTCTCACAGTTCTGGAGGCTGAAAGTCCAAGATCAAGGTGTGGCAAGTTTGGTTTTGATGAGGCCGCTCCTTGGCTGGTAGACGGATGCCTTCTCACTGTGCCTTGGCCTAGTCTTCCCGCTGTGTGTGCACATCCCTGGTGTTTCCTTGGATGTCCAAGTCTCCTCTTCTGCTAAGGATACCAGTCAGGTGTGATGAGGACCCACTCTGATGACCTCATTTTAACGTAATCACCGCTTTAAAGGCCCTATCTCCAAATACAGTCACATTCTGATGTGATGGCAGTTCGGGCTTCAATATATGAAGTTGGCACATTTCAGCCCACAACGGAAGCCAATCTCAGGGCCAGGATCTCTGAGGGTCAGACAGAAAAGGCCCTCCTAGGGAGCCAGAAATAAAAGTGGGACCCAAGCATGTCTGGGGGAGCAGTGGGCCACACTGTGGCTGCCCAGGCAACTCATCCACTTGGACCTTGTGCTAAGTACAGTGCAGTTAGTTTTACAGTCCGTAGTGGGTTTGCCTGACCCACCCTGGCAGGTGTGGGTGAGATCAGCCCAACGGGCAGCATGAGGAAGTGAGTATGGGAGATGCTGAAAGGAAAGAACATAAGGTGGTGAACAGCACTTTTCAATGTTTGACCACTTAATGTTTAAACTATGTTTGCCTTAGGAAGTGAAATTTGCTTACCAATCTGTGGTAATTTAATCACCATGACTTCACTAATTTGGCTTTATCTCAGTCTGTATAAAACTGTTGATTTTTTAAAAATTAGGAATAGGCTCATTAGTTTCCCCTTGAAATAGCTATCGTGTAGTAATACAGTTAAGTGACTGAGATTAATTTGAAAACAAACTACTGTGCATTCCATTCAACTACTTTCTCTGTGCCACACATTGTTTTAACCCCTGGGAAACAGCAATGTACAAAACACAAGATTCCAGCATCATGACACTTTATTTTCTATTTTGAGACAGAAAATAAAATAGATACTTTCACATAGTGGTAAGTGTCTTGGAATGTATACAGGGCGACAAGGTAGAGAACAACGAGGCCTGACCAGCAAGGGTGGAGGAAGGCCTCTCTTAAGTTTGAGCTAAGACCTGGAGAAGATCAACAGAGATAAACATGTCGGAGAGAAACACGGTTAACGCCGCGGTGAATATTGGGCGGACTCCCTCTCTGGGCCCAGACTGATTCCTGCTTTCGATGTCTGCACATCTCGATTATGCAGACACATCTCGAATTTATAAAATTCTTACTCTGCTGTATTACAGACGAGAATCTGCGGTTCAAAGGTTAGTAGGGCAGGTAACTGATTCCGAAGCCGGTCCCTGCCTTCGTGGTCCTGGGTACGAAAAGGCATTACAGGCGAAGACCGACGGGCTCCGGGGAAGGTTCGGCAGCACCGAAGACATGCCGGCCTCCTCTGGGACTTACCCGGGAAGGCACGGGAGGGAGAATCAGAAGACAGCGTCCGTCCGTCCGTCCGTCCTTCCCACCTTCCTTCCCACCTACAACACCTGGCCCGGGTCTCGAGTTCGGAAAGAAGTAAAAAAGCAAGCAAAAGCCCCACAGGCTGCCACTTCTCTCAGGCTTTCTTGACTGTGAAGACGCCCACAACTTAGGCGACGATTTCAAGGCAAGGAGTGAACGTGCAGGCGCGGAGGAGACAAGAACACACCCGGGGGGCGGGTCAGGGGTGGAGGGGTCAATGGGCAGAAAAGAGGACATCTGTGATACTTTCAACAATAAGATACATTAAAAAAAAAAAAATACACACCCAAATTCACCTGCAGCCACGCTCCCCCACACCAGCCCAGTCCAGGTGCTGGGTCTCAGAACCTCGCGATTCGCGCTCCGCGTGACGTCACGTCCGCTGCATCCGCGCCGGCGTTAATAAATGACGTTGCCACTTCCGGCTCCCAGAGGCCGCCAGTGGCGGCGCAGGCGTCGT